CACGTCGAACAAAACAAATGACGACGCTTGCTTGTGTTGCGATCGAAACGTCGTAGTGACTTTACTGAAAACCCCAAAGAATATGGATTCCTACAGTCACGAAAGCTTTGAGTCAAGCGTGAGATGTCCTGTCACTTTGTCTCCCCCAGATCCTCATGTTTCACCAACTGCTCATTTAAGGCTGAGCCAACCTAGGGGAGGACTAGAAATACGTAAACATTCCACCTGTCGCTGGGCTTGTGGCGCAGTGCGCGAACTCGGTGCTCGCTAACTGCACCTGTGTGGACACGTGCAGTTGGCGAGCACCTGTTGAGGCACGCAATGAGGTGCTGTAGTCGACAGCAGACCGCCTCCTCCTATTGTCTCGCCCCCAGTTTTTTTTCTGGTCACGCGCCGCCACTCCAGTTCAGTACTCATTTAAGGCTGAGTAGACCTATGGGAGGCCGCACGCATGTTTGTTTCAAGGTGCATCTTTAATCGGTTGGTCATTTTACACAATTCACACCCCTCTGCACGATACATCTTATATGTAATGTACGTATGTTTCGGGCAACAAATCTCAAAAAAATATATTTACAACGCAAAATTTCCTAGAAGTGTTAAGTGAAGCGTACCTCGTGATCGTGACGCGTCTCGGAGTGCATCCATGTCACTGTCAAGGCTGCGCGCCCCGAGGGTCAATGGCACCGCGTATCTCTGGATTGCACAACTCCTGGCCTCGTACCCCGTGTCAATAATGCTGTTCAAATCTGAATCTCTCTCCTCCACACAAAGATCAAATCTGGATCTCTCTCCTGACACAAAGATCAAATCTAGATCTCTCTCGTCACACAAAGACCAAATGTGGATCTCTCTCAAACAAAGATCAAATCTGAATTCTCTCTCCTCACACAAAGATCAAATCTGGATCTTTCTCACACAAAGATAAAATCTAAATATCTCTCACATAAACATCAAATCTGGATCTCTCTCGCACAAAGATCCCCCGTGTCGCCTTTAACCGACTGTTGGGGCAAGTGCTGTTCGTGAGAGCATCTAAGAAAGCCGACACGGCACGCGGCGGCAGTAGAAGGGCCAGCAGCATCACGCCTGACCGCCTTTGTCTCCCCAGTGGCGATGTTTGTACACCGTAGCAGGTACTTATTTGAGGCCGAGTCGACCCAGGGGCGAGGCCAAGGACCGGTTCAGATCATCGTCACCGGTGTTGGCCGCGAGCGGAAAAATCGAATTTGTGTTCGCCGAGTTCGAAGCGCTAGGCCGCTAACCGCTGCGCCACCACTCCACATAGACACGCGCAGACACACTCGGATTGTGAGACGCTTCTCCCAATACACGGAAAAAGGGCGTCTTTTATAATCCGGAGAACGCTGAACATTATTCAACAGGGGCAACCACCGCCGTCATATGCGCCCGGCCACCGCCAATCAAACCGTAGAGTATGTAAGTACTGTACGTTGAATTTATTTCGCTCCGTGCGTGGTCCACCACGGTGATCGGAGATGCCGGGCAAGGGCAACAAACTAAGCACAAAAAAGCAGTTGTAAATAAACTCATGTTGAATTTAGACGATTTAAAAGTGCATAGCGTCCTAACATCGGAAGCAAGAGCGTTCCAGACGGCCGCTGGAAACGCATCGGGCAAAGCGCGCGATGCCATTGACCGCCGTCTTTGTCCGATGGACGACCAGAATCCGCTGCTGCTGCTGCTGCTGCCAGGGTGAGCGCAGTTCGTCTGGTGGTTGGTGGTCCTGGACGAGATCAACGAGAGGAGTGTTTTGTGTACCGTGATCAGCCATGGTCGATCCACTGCTGGACAAAACTCAAAAAGCAACACCCGCACTTCCACCGACGCCGTGCAACCAAACAGATGACAAAGGGCACGGAGTCTTGTCCGACTTATCGATCTTCCAAACTCACGTGAACCCGCAGCATTCGGTTTAAGCGCTAGTCAGCAATGGGACGCGACACTGAAATACCTGTTTATGAGATGTAATCTAAATTGCTCTGATATTCCCTACGAGCGCCGATTGAGTGGCGAAGTCGGTCTAGAATCCCCGTGCTTTAATGGAACGCTTCTGCGACAAAATTCCGGGGCGGAGTGATGGCGCAGCAGTTTCGCAGCGGTTTCGCAGCGGTTTTGCGACGGCGGCGGCTACGATCATCCGTGGCGAGCCACATCCGACCTGGCCTTGGTCACCATTCGTCACCAACCCGAGCTGTCCAGCGTGCTGAAGTTATGGTCAAACAACCCCCCAGGACCGACAAACACGGCGCGGGGTGACATTCATCCAGCAGGTGGATTGACAAAAGGGCTGTTATGGATGATCATTTTTGCTCAGGATATATTGTCTGGAAGGCCAATGCACTCCGCTAAATTTGTGTTATTCTATTTTATTTAGAGATATAAATGGGGTGATTTATTCAATTTAATCCATTACTCATGATGTTTCACAATGTCCCATAGACCCACAATGTTCCAACATGTTTCATATTATGGATTGGTATCTCGCAGGGTAGCACCACTCACCGATTAATATCGATGATGTTAGTTCACGATGCGTGCATCGGACGGCGCGTGGCGAGCCATTGATTTTGAGGAGTTTTGTTTCCAACTATTCCTCGTCTGCTAATGTGTTTTCTGGCGTGTGGTCACGTGACACTGGGCAGCCACGAGACGCCGCTAATAATCAACGTCACGTATCGTTTAAAACAACAACAACAACAATCGACCCCAACTGAATCGAATCGCGGACAGTCGATTGGATGCACACGCAGTGATTTTTTTTTGTCTCATTCTGTGTTTTTACCGGGCTAATTTAAACAATCGCTCTTTCTTTAAAGCCGCGGATTGATCTCGTGGATGACTCCCGCTTGACCTTGGTGGCTGCCATCTGCTGCCACCAATGCCGCAAATGGACCTTCAAAGAGACCTCAACGCTCGGTCGCTTAAGGGACCCTATCTTCAGTAATCGTGTTCCCCCCCCCTCTCTCCCTCTCGCTGTCTCCACCGTCTCGCATGTGCACACGCACGCACGCGCGTATGTGTGTAGATAGACAGCCCCATTGCCAAATCCACTGCTGAATGAGGGCCTACTCCCCACGCCGTGCCGAGGTCGTAGTGGCCGTCACTTGGCCATACTTCACCACGCAGGTTCAGCGTGTTTTGCTGAAGGCGGGGAGCAATTGGCGTGGACGCGGTAGGAGTACGGTACAATAATTATATTTTACCGCGCGCTGCCATCTGTCTGTCCACCACCAAGCCTTGACGGTATCGTCGGTATGATTCTCGTGCGTACGTACACATATAAATATTATATATATACATACATACACACGTACACACCGCGCTATGAATGTCTTGAACGTGAAATATTTACACACACGGGGGGCCGCGACTTCAACGCCCCCGACGAAACCAGGAGACATTCAACTCTCACAAGGCAACATCACTCACGCGAACCCCCAGTGCGGACACGTGGATGTGCAAGTCTCCCCTTCTTAAGACTTGGACGCGCGATCTTGCGGGCGGGGAGCGCAATATCGCAATGCATACAGCGCACACACACACGCACACATACACGCACTCACACACACACGCACACATACACGCACTCACACACACGCGCGCACACACACGCGCGTACACACACACACGCACACACACACACACGCACACACACACACGCGCACACACACGCACACACACACACGCACACACACACACACGCGCGCACACACGCACACATACGCACACATACACGCACGCACTCACACACACGCACTCACACACACGCGCGTACACACACACGCACACACACGCGCGCGCACACACGCACACACGCGCGTACACACACGCACACGCGCACACGCGCACACACAAACACAGACACACGCACACACACACGCACACACACACGCGCGCACACACACGCGCGCACACGCACACACAAACACACACAAACACAGACACACGCGCACACACGCGCACACACACGCACACACACGCACACACACACACGCGCGCACACACACACGCGCGCACACACACGCACACACAAACGCACACACACACGCGCACACATACGCGTGCACACACGCACACGTGCACACACACGCGCGCACACACACGCGCACACACACACGCAGACACACGCACACACACGCACACACACACGCACACACACGCGCGCACACACACGCACACACAAACGCACACACACGCACACACACACGCGCACACACACACACCCACACGTGCACACACACACGCGCGCACACATGTGCACACACACACGCGCACGCACGCGCGCACGCACACACGCGCGCAAACACACACGTGCACACGCACGCACACACACGCGCACACACACACGTACGCACACACACGCTCACACGCACACTCACACAAATGCGCACACACACACACACGCGCGCGCACGCCAAAGCTTTTCGTTGCATTTGTCATCATTCCTAAGTAGTGCCCCATTTTAGTACTGGCAGATGGAAGGATGCGATGGCGAGGCGGCGGCGGCGGCAGCGGTGGTGGTGGTGGTGGCGGTGGTGGTGGTGGTGGTGGGGGCTGCGGTGGTGGTGGTGGCTGCGGCGGTGGCGGTGGTGGTTGTGGTGGTGGGGGCTGCGGTGGTGGTGGTGGCGGTGGTGGTGGTGGTGGTGGCGGTGGTGGTGGTGGTAGTGGGGGTGGTGGTGGTAGTGGGGGCTGCGGTGGTGGTGGTGGCGGCGGTTGTGGTGGTGGTGGTGGCGGCGGTGGTGGTGGTGGCAGCGGTGGTGGTGGGGGTGGTGGCGGTGGCGGTGGTGGTGGCGGTGGTGGTGGTGGTGGCGGTGGTGGCGGTGGTGGTGGCGGTGGTGGTGGCGGTGGTGGTGGTGGCGGTGGCGGTGGTGGTGGCGGTGGTGGTGGTGGTGGTGGTGGCGGTGGTGGTGGTGGTGGCGGTGGTGGTGGTGGTGGTGGTGGCGGTGGTGGTGGCGGTGGCGGTGGCGGTGGTGGTGGCGGTGGCGGTGGTGGTGGCGGTGGTGGTGGTGGTGGTGGTGGCGGTGGTGGTGGTGGTGGGGGCTGCGTCGACGACATTGCTCGTGATGAACACGTCGGGTCTTGATTATTACTTCCACCGTATTCTCTCGATTATGAGACACGTCGGAGAGTTAGACGCACCCCAAGCGTTGTGACCGGTGTCAATTGAGTTTATACAAATATGGTCTCGTACACACACACACGCGCACGCGCGCGCTCCTACCGGATTAAAAGACGCACCCCCAACTTTGCTTTAAAATACATGGGGTGTGTGGGGGGGGGGCGGGGGGCGATGTTCGTCGTATAATCTGGAGAATACGGTAATTCTCAGTTCCGTGTTTATTCTTTTGCTCGCCGCTTTCCCTAGTCTGGAACGTGAAGGGAAGGTTTCAATCACGTTCGCCCGTTGCGCGTGCATTGCCCTTGTGCGTGCCGATTGGATCGTCGCACGTGCCAAACGTCGTGTCCGCTCTGGCTCCAACGACGGGTGTAACCCGTGGATACATCGCCTCTGTCCGTCCTTCCCGTTTGTCCGTCCGTCCGTCCGTAAGCGGTGGGCCACCACGCAAGGCTCGTTTAGATAATTCACTGTTAATGAACGTTGAGCGTAAAGTTTCGTGGCTATTAGAGGACCCACCCTTTGTTGAAGACCCCCCCCCCCCACCACATTCATCGACAGGCGACGTCGTCTCGTTGTGCGGCAAGTAGGATAACGTTTGCGTACCTGCGAGCACAAACGCACGCTGTTGGGTAAACGTTACGGAATCCACGCGTATGCATGGTTTTTGTTTCTTTTTGTTTGTTTCTTGTTTGTGCCGCTTTGCCGGCGTTGCGAAGTTGAGCGCTGTGGTTTTGACTCTTGTAGTATAGAGGGCACGCGCTTCGTCTTGCCGCCGTGATTTTTACGTCTCGTGGATACTCACTGACCCCTGCGTTGACAATTGATGACACGAATCGAAGGTCCCCTTACCCTAACGATATTTTGTTGCTTACTTATCATAGTAAGTGCATCATCATCATCCTCATAATCAACAACAACAAACTCGCCACGCATGCCAGGGAATTGAAACCGCGTGTCCACCCGCAACGCTCGTGTCGTCTCCCACCACGACGAGACGGACATCCCCGTCTCTGGCAGTCCTCGTCTCTCCATCCCCCTAGCCGCGTCCTCTCACGGCCTCGCTCCCACATCCACCGCTTCGCTTGCCTCGACTCCTTAGCGCAGAGGTTTCTCTCGTGCGACACGCAGTCCGTGGGCTCATTGAACGCGGCACATTCACCAGGGCAGCCGACCTCTTCCATTGCGTGCCAAGCTCGGTTACATGCAGGACATGATCATAGTCGCAATAATAATAATGATTTACAGTCAATTTGCCAATCCACTGCTGGATGACGGCCTCCCCGCGAGCCGTGACAGACGTGTCATTCATGCGGGTTGTGGGACCACACTTTGGTCAACGCGGGCTGGAGGAGAAATGGGAGCGCCCATAGAGACCCCTGCAGACATCACCGCTCTCGTCACTCCGATGCAAGCGCGCAAAGCGACTGCTCCGCTCCGCTCCCCACCCTTACATTAATTTACCGTTGCAATTAAAACCTTAATTTAGTAACGATTATCAGGGTTTCATTTCCGCGTCCGTGACCTGACAAAAGATTTCCGCACCCCGGGCGCACCACATCCAGTATACTCTCTCGCCACGGTACACTCTCTCTCTCGTCGTGGCTGTGAGCACTCCCTAGTCACGTGCCGCCTACTCCAGTGTATCTGGAGAGAGGGGGTAGGGGGAGGGGTGTGGGATATTCAGGTGAGAAATTGAAAGCCCTGCTAATTACAATGACTTAATTAATCATTGAGTTAATTAATTCACGACTCAATTCGTCCACCGTCCGCCCGCCCGCGGTGTCGTCCACTGAGCTACAACCCCCCTTTGCCTCTCGCTCGCTCGCTCGCTCTTCCTCCCTCTCCCTGTTCCCGGCGAGTTCACCCGGAGGGGTGGTACGGCGTCTCGTTGTGGTAGTTGTAGTCCGGGCACACCTTCTGCACGAGCCTGTAGTCCGCGCTGGCGAACGCGATGTAGATGCAGATGATCTTGAAGGGGCGCGAGCAGAGCCACGACACGTGACTCTGCGTCTGCTCCTGGTAGCAGATCTTGGACGGGTCGTGACTGCAGAGCGACGTCTTCTTGGCGTGCTCCACCTTCTCGTACTCCACGCGGCAATTGAATGCCGTGGATGCCGAGGTCGAGGAGGCGGTCGTGGTGGATGACGGCGGCGGGGCGAGATTCTTCACGTCGGACGCGTTGTTTGGCGACGGTGACTCGAAGGTCACGGCCGTGCCCGGTGGCACGAGCACCACGGACACGTTGCCCTGACCCGTGGAATTCTGCCTGAAGAAGACGCTGAACGTCCCGTTGCCGTGGTCCACCACTTTGCCCGTGATGAGCAGGTTCAGCTTCACCGTCTTGATGTTCGAGTGGAAGTCCCCCCAGCCGAACATCTTCTTCACTTTGCCCGTCTTCACCGCAGGCCTCCGCTTGCTCCGAGGTCGTGGTCGGCCCGCGGCAGGCACGGAACCCCCCCACCTAAGCGCCTCCTGGAGCCACGACGGTGCCGGTTCCAGCGCAGGCGGACGTCGCTCCACCGGCCGGCAGTGAGCGGTGGTGGTGGTGGTGGTGGCGGTGGACAGCTGTGGTTGCTCGGCTCTCCCGGCCGCGTCGGCCAAGACGAGACCTTTGCCGGCTTCGAAGGGCGACGCGATGAGTGGGACTCGGGGTGGCTCGATGCGTCCCAGGTCCCTGCTGGCGCATCTCACCTGCGCGAGCGCACACGGCAGATGCGGAAACACGCGTTAAGAGAGATGCAGGCATCGCCGCCGTCGTCATGATGATGATCGTGTCAACCTTTCGCGCGGCGGCGCCACACAGTAACTCGCTCGCTCTCGTAGAGATGGAGACTCGGAGGCATGAAGAGGAACCACGGGACTATAGGGAAGGCAACAGCCAGGCAGCGAGCCATTGCCAAATTTCCCTCCAAGCTCTGCGGTCCTCGATGTGTAAAGGCGCTATCAAAAGTTCTGGATGAAAGTCTCCTTAAGGCTTGAGAACAATGAATGGATATTTACACGTGGCAGGCTAACGGAGCGCCGGGAGTAAACCCACGAGTGAGTGATGAGGGTACGCTGCCGCGTTACTGTATCATTCCACGTACGGTATCACTGTCCCGCTTAGCACCGCAACTCAAGAAAGTAGTTCGTCGTCGACCGCTCGTTATAACGATGCACGTTCCGTGTTCTAGCGGTGCGCGTTCCGCGTTATGATGCACGTTCCGCGGAAAGTGTTGACAAATGGAAAAACCGCGTTCTAGCGAAAACGCGTTGTGCGAACACTCGTTAAGCGAGGACTTACCTACGTGGGATACGTTTGTACGCAAGCTGCACAAGTGAAAATAATAACAATACACCACATTCGTCATTTGACACCGCGCTGAAAGTCAGAGCCCTTTGACAATCCACTGCTAGATGTAAGGTCTCCCCAGGCCTTGAATGTTTGTTGAGGCACACTTCACCATGCTGGGCGAAGTATTGGGGGCAGTATCGGTTCAGATATCGCTCGCCACTGATGTTAGCCGTGAGCGGCTATCGTATTCGGATCGTCACGCTCATCGCCAACCGCTGCGCCAACTCCACGACCAGCAGCTCGTTGCGACATAAAACAGCTACAGTATAGGGCAACGGTTCGGGAGAGGACCCTTTTTCAGAGCAAAGAAGGGCACTATATCTCGAAACGTCGATGTTTGTTTTTGTTATACGACGATGCCCGTGACCAATGCGGTAAGTGGCTTTCTTACATCTTGCGCAGCTGACTAAGTAATTTTACTGACCGAGTTTTTTTGGGTAAATATGCAAGTAGGCTGACGTTTCACGCAACGGCCCTTCCCCAGGGCAGGAAGGGCAGAGTGAGGGACTGAAACAAACTGCGGGCCTCCTAACCCCCCCCCCCCCCCCCGTAAATAATTGCTTTCGTTAGTTCACCTCGGCTTACGTTGGCTCTTAAACACATTTTTACACAGAACAAACAAATACACCCACGGGAATTAATGAAGATGAAAGCTCAATGAATTCCCACGAATATGGGAAGCTGCGTAATGGGGGAGGGAGTGGGGGTGGGTATGGTGCAGTGCCCATTGACGTCTTCCGTGAGCCCCGGGTAAACAAGGCAACGGTCTTTCACCAACGACGTCGCAACAACAACAACAACAACGACGACAACAACAACAAGCCGGGCAGCCCAGTCTGCGAAGGGAGCCTCCGCTTCAGTGAGTGCAGCGGTTCTCAGAGTGCGGTCCCCGGCACACATCCACGTGGCTGTGTCTCACACTTAAGCGCTTGTGTTGCGCCCGAAACGTCGTGATTTAATTTAGTTGTTTTTCATTTTTTTAATTAGATTTTTTTTACCTACGTGACTTTACCGAAAAAAAAACAAATCGTATAAGCACACGCAATTAGTTGTAAAGAAGCGAGTTTGCAATCTACTGTGTCGTGGCATTAGTGGGGATGACCTGGTGCCTGCCGTTGGAGTGTGGAGTTCACAGAGCTGGGTCAGAGCCATCGAGATTGATGAGTGTCTCCTCAATACCCATTTGAGCCATTACATTTTGACCGATTTTAGTGCGCTAATGGTCACGGTAATGCCGATTGTGATGTTGATGTTGACGATGCTGATGATGATAATTGGTTCTTTACCCTTCTATCTGGCAATAAAACTGACACCTTTTTACAAGGAGTCATGTTTGCATAGACCGCAATACCTGCAGTCATAATACAAACAAAAGAACATAACTCTGATAATGTGCACTGTCCTTGAAGTTGATTGGTCCACACCCGAGACAGCTTTCCTTAGAGCCTAGTCTCATATGGGTTGGACCAGATGACGCCAAAAGGCGCACAACTCAAGGACAATGCACCATCAGAGTATGAGAGCTCGGGGTAAGCATCTACACTATGGGAACCTCATTTGCCAGCAAAAATATGATAATTGGTTCTTTACCCTTCTATCTGGCAAGGAAAGCTGTCTCGGGTGTGGACCAATTAACTTCAAGGACAGTGCACATTATCAGAGTTATGTTCTTTTGTTTGTATTATGACTGCAGGTATTGCGGTCTATGCAAACATGACTCCTTGTAAAAAGGTGTCAGTTTTGTTGCCAGATAGAAGGGTAAAGAACCAATTATCATATTTTTGCTGGCAAATGAGGTTCCCATAGTGATGCTGATGATGTTGATGATTATGATGCTGCTGATTATATGCTAATGGTGATGCTGATGATGATGATTTTGCTGATGATGATGTTGATGATGATGATGTTGAGGATGCTGCTTATGATGATGCTGATGATGTTGATGCTGCTGATGATGATGTTGACGATGATGACGGCGATGTTGGTACCGCCGCCGCTACGCGCGTCAGACAACAATGAATACGCGTCACAGTCACGCGGTGCAAATTCACGGACGTAGGAGTAAGATCAACGACACCCAGATAATGATGATGGCCGATGGTCAAGCATACTGACGGAGTGCCTGCCACTGAATGGAGCCCGTCTGAAAATTCCCTCTCCGAGGCTATGGAACAATAACATCGTCTCGTGCGCAGGCGCGAGCTGGACTGTCCCATGGCATTCTCGTGAGAGATTTCATCGCTTTGAGGGGCCTGACCTGACCATGGTCGATGGGTGGATAGGTCTCGAGTATCTAATTGCTCCATGGCACAGTTTGTACCGCATTGAAACGCAATTGCGAATGTCGCCCTGTGTGCGCGCCGTCTCGTCGGATCTAGGAAGCTAAGCAGAAGCAGTTTCGACCCTGGCTAGGACTAATTGGATGTGTGACCATCAGCACCGCCACCACCGCCACCACCACCCAGCGCTTGCGAGATGCCACCGTGCGGCTGCGAGGTGAGAGGCCCGCAGGAGATCGCAGCTCCGAGCGTGGCGGGGTTCTCTCCGGGCCCTCTAACGGGTTCCTCCAAAGCGAAAAAGCGAAATTCAGAACTCGTAGAGAGTTTCGATTTAAAGCTTTCGTGACTGCAGGAATTCATCTTCTTGGTTCTTTCGGTAAAGTCACGTAGAAGGGAAGTAATAAAATAATAAAAAAAAAATAATAATTATTTATTATATTTTTTTCTTATGTTTTATTTTTATTATTTTATTACTTCCCTTCTACGTGACTTTATCGTAGAGAGTTGGCCCTGAAGAAGCTTCCGGCACAGCGGAGCGAAACGTTGGACATCGCGCCGAACAACACGCGGCCGTCATAACCTTCACACGGAAACTGTTTAGCATCGTCTCCGAGTGTCAGAAAGAACACCCGCCACGCGTTACACACAGAGAGGGGGGGGGGGGGTGACACTCGACACTGACATCTGCTGGCCACAACCTCTTGCAGCCATCGACGCCCACGACACACCTGGTCAGGCCTTGTCCACCCGCTCCCACTCGACATCTGTGAAGAAGAGCTTCATAGCTCATCGGATTCCTCCAGGACGCAATGCAGTTCCCCGAGTTTCTGGGTGGTCACCAGTCCGAGTTGCGGAACTAGCCAGGCAACGTTCGACCCCCTGCTTAGCTTGCAAGGTCTCACGATATCGTGCGCGTTCAATCACAATGTGACGACCGTAGGCGAGACCAAGAACTGGGGGGGAGGGGGGGGAGTATTGTGACGTGGGAGACACGTGTGTGCGTGTGGACCACGTGTGTGCGTGTGTGCGGAGCACGTGTGTGTTAGTGCAGCGGTTAGCGCGCTGCGCTACGCTACGAACTTGGCGACCCGAGTTGGATTCCCGCTCATGGCCAGCATCAGGTGACGATTATCGTAACCGGTGCTGGGCCTCCCCTAAGTCGACTCGGCCTCGAATTAGTAGTACCTGGTGCGGTGTGTAGGCATCGCCACTGGGAAGACAAAGGCGGGCGGGGGTGGTGCTGGACACCCACCCCCTCGTGAGGTGCTACTCGCTAACAGCACTTGCCCCATCAGTCTGTTCAGGCTATGGGGTGGGGAACTTTTGTCTTTGTGAAGCCTGTGGCGCTCCCCCCGCGTGCCACGTGTGGTGTTCTCCGGGCCCTGCCCGTCTCCCGACATCTCGCGTGCGATCCAACAACACCGAGTTTCATTCCACTCCAATGCTCGCTGGGGTTTCTCCTGGTTAAGAGTTGGGCTTGATTGCGTTTGGACGTCGATTGCCTCCTACAAATGTCTACTGCCGATTAGGCCGGAACGCGCTCGATCTCATCAGATCTCGGAACGCTTCTCGGCGTGGTGACGCAGGTCAGACAACTCCATGTGAGGGACACGGCGTTGGAGGAAGGTCATCATCCCGCAGCGGATTGACAAAGGCGCTGCACTCTACACTATTATTAACTAAAACGTGCGTTTAAAATATTGTTGACTTTACATTGTCTGCACACAACTGTGGGTATGTATCATTTGAGTACGTGATGCGGTGTGTAAACATTGTCTCTCGGGAGACAAAGGCGGCCGGGCGTGGCGCTGGCCTAACCACTCCCTCGTGCGCTGTTTCGGCCTTCAAAGACGCTCGCTAACAACACTTGCCCCGACAGTCCAGTAAAGGCTATGCGGGGGATCTTTGTCTTTGTTTAAAAAAAAAATCACCGACTGACCCCTCACCTGGTTGGGAGTGAAACCCGACTCTGGCATGGACACGGACGCAATCCCGGTCGCAAGACAAACACACGAGACGGTCATTCGTATTGACACATCCCTGTCAGCGCACAAATCTATGAAACATCTTATTTTAAA